TTGAACAAAACAATAAAAAATAAAAAAATAAAAATAAAAATAAAAATAAAAAGGTACCCTTTGACCATTCCTGGAGTAACCATAAAACATCACGCAAAGAGTGCCCGGAACACAAGCTCGGAGTACAGCTTCAGGTGCTTGCCAGAGCGGATCAATCACAACAGCAGGCCAAGAAGGAAAATGCTTACCACATTGCGCCCAGACTAAATCTCCCATAACAAAATCACTAGGCTCATAAAAATCAGCCTTTTTTTTAACAACTTTCTCCTTCACACGCTTCATCAGTCTGGCATGCCCATTCTGCTTCTCAACTTTTTTCATCATCGGTGAAAAAGAGGAAAGTCCTTCATTTATCGATGTAACTGAACTACGGGAACTAGGATAAGGCTCAGAAACAACGTTTTTGAACAGGAAGTCGCCATACTGCTTTTCTGTCCGTCGTTTCTTCACTAAGTATATGTCACCAAAAGACACAGATGCCTCTTTCTTCTTTAGCTTCTTCTTAAGGGGCGCATCCTGAACACATTTATTATTATCAGCCACACAGCTCTTCAGATCATCACAAGACTCCGACTTTTCTTTTTCTTTCTTCCACGGGTGCAAAACCGAGTCACTGAATTTCACAGGAAGCACCTGTTTGCGCCCTCTGGAGGACTTCAACAGTGGAGGCTTGTACTCCGCAAACTTCCGCACCACAGAATTCTCTTCAGTATTGAATGATGAGACTCCAGTCGCAGGGCAACAATTTGACAAATCAACATCGTTCTTCTCGATTTGGGCAATAGGAAGTGTACAACAGCCATTTGTCGTCTTCTGTATCTTCATTGGATTTCTAGCGACGACGCATGACTGCTCAACTCCGTCGCTATTCCCGATTTCTAATTTCGCCGCCGAGCAACGCTTGAGCTTCGGCATCCCAATTTTTCTCGGCGGTTTACCAACCATCTCCCGTCGTCAATCAATCAAATGCGCCCATAAAAAAAAAAAAACCCTAATTCCACTTCCCACGACCCCCAAAATTAAAATCCAGATGCCGCTTACAAAAACCTCTAATCTTTCGCCAAAGGTTTGCTAAAAAAAAACCCTAATTTCACGAAGCCCTCCTGAAAACCGACCCAATCTGAGATTTTCAGACTGAGGAATTAAAAGGATATATCCTCCGATTCACCAAATCTTCTGCAAGAAACCCAAAATCCTTGCACGTAAATAAGAAAGTGAACACCAAATTGAGAGAATTAACAAGAAAAAAGATTGATTGATCAGAGGAAAAACAAGATAACAATTTGCTTTACTATCCAATAAATCGGGAGAAAAAAAACCAAAAAAAAAAAAATGTAAGAATGTTGTGTGTGTGTGAGTGAAAGGGTATTTACTATTTGCTAAATTTCGAACCCAATAAATAAATAATAAAAAGCTATAAAGTATGCTTGTTTTCATCATCGTCGTTTGAAAATGGCGGATTGAAGTTGAAATTTTTTTGAGGGAAGCTTTTTGGCTCCATGATTTTCCAGCGTTGGTCGCGCCAAAAGGGCGAAAAATTTGAGCCTATGGGTAGTACAGAGAAGTTGTGTACAACCGCTGGACTTTTTGTACTGGATGGATTGGTGGGGTGTGGTGGAGGGGATTGGGCTTATTGGGCTTTTAGTTTTCGATTAATTTAGGAGTCCTCTTTCGGCCCATTGTAGGAAAGAAGTGAATTTAAGAGCTAGAGCACCCAAAATGCTTTGGGGTTTCTTTTTATATATGTGGCATATAATTGGACTTAAGTCATAAATGACATGGACAAACCTAAGTAAAAAAAAAACTTAAAAGCTTTCCATTGCAAAAATAAACGGGAAATTTACATATATAGACCCTCTATATCAAATATTTACATATATACGTTTTTTATAACTTTTCATCAAAATAGGATTTTGATGGGATCTTTTTTTCATGTATACGAATAGCGTATCTCTAATTAATCTTGCTCTTTTATTTCTCTCTCTCACCATATATTAAACCTCCAATTAATTCTCTCTCTCTCTCTCTCTCTAATTAATTTCTCTCCAATTAATTCTCTCCATGATATATATATTTCTTCTCTCTCTACAAAAATATTAGACGACATGATTCAGAAGGTGATGGATTTTACAAAAGATTTGTTGCAAATATTATGTTAAAATCAGAAAATTATACGTAAGATAAACATCAGATAAACAAGTCTATAGAAAAAAATATACATAAGATAAACAACTCTATAGCAATCGGATCCGTTGCATAAACTTCACTGCATCTTGATCATTTTTTCATACCTTGACATAATATATACATATATATATACACAAGATAAATAGAATATAAACATATTTTTGATTATGTAATAACCAACACGAGAACAAAAAGTGTATATATATACATAAAATAAACAGTATATAAACATCTTTGATTCTGCAACAAGCTTGTAACATGAGAACAAAAATTGTATATAAACACCATATAAAACATTTCTCAAAATCCAATATACATATAACATGACAAAAAATAATAATAATAAAAAAATCCACCGCCGCCTCTGGTGGCACTACCACCCCGATGGTCCCCCAACTCCGGCGAGTACCTCATGAAGGTCGGCCTCGGCACCCCTCCCGTCGACATCCTCGCGATCCTCTCGGCGATGGGCTGCTCTTGCGGCGGGTGGACATCCCGTCGACATCACCGCCTCTGGTGGCACCACCACCCCTGCTTGCTCGCGATGGGCTGCTCTTGCGGCGGGTGGCTCGTCAGACATGAAGGGATAAGATAGATGAGGGATAAGATGGATGAGAGAGATGAGAGATGAGCGATAAATATGAGAGAGAAATTTTTTGATTGATGGTTTCATATGGAAAGAATGGAACATATCACTCTTCCCAATAATCATGGAAGAAGATAACCATCATTAAGTAGTAGGTAGTTACTTTTACAAAAATTAAAACTTCTCTTAATTAAATAAAAAAAATCGTATTTATGATTAAAATTTAATGATTTCGTATTATTAATATTATTTAACAATGTAACAGTAAAGTTTGTAATTTTCTCAAATAAAACATTAGGTCTAGAACAAATATCAACTAATAAAACACGCGTACGAAACAATCAGTTTCAGCTACCTTCTTTCGCACAAGTTCTTTTTTCTTCTTCAACGTACAGAGTTCTATTTCGTCTTCAACCAACCAAGTTTGTTCAATATACTGTGAGTATTGCTTCTTCAATATACGGTGAGTATTGCCCTCATTTTGTAATAACCCTTGGCAAAACAACTTTAATTTCTGACTAGTTGATAATTGTGGTTAATGTTAGGTTTTTAATCGTATTGAGTTTCTTGGTGTACATGAGGATTTTGATTATATAATTTATTATAAATATATTTGGATGTCTCTGTAAATCTTTGGTCACTTTGGCCTGAAAGTGCCGAATTTACACCCTGCAACATGGACGGAAGATATCCTTGATCACAAGGTGGTCAGCAAGAGGGATGCTGCCAATTACATTGACAATTAACAAACACAAAAATATATATATATATATATATATATATATATATATTTACGATGGGTGAGAAATTATGTAAATATTTGCACTTTGCCTATGAATCTTTTAGTTTTCATGAGAACTTATTAATCATTTTTATGTTATTTCTGGCCCATCAGCAAATTGTTCATCCAGTCAGTCATGTTTGATTTAGTGATCCGCCTTAAATTAATTATTTCCAGTTATTATATTTTCTGTACCATCACTAGTTTTTCATCTTTTCTTTTTTCTTTTTCTTTCTTTTTGTAGGCAATATAAGGCAAAAATAATGTCTACCTTAAATTATGAATCAGACTCTACTGGCTCATCCTCAAGCGACAACGAGTTTTCGATTACAAGAAAATTACTGGATGAACCCATTAATGAATATTGCTCGAACTCAACTCTGAACCATAGAATGCTTCAGACCACACTCCAGGTTTCTCTTTTGTTTGCAAAGGACGGACATGGAAATCCAAAACTTAATAGACGTTACATTCGACGTGAGAGAAAAGAACGACATGATTTAATAATTAGTGATTACTTTAGCGGCGAGAGATCAAAATATACACCTGAGCAATTCCGACGCCGATTCCGAATGGATGTAAGCTTGTTTGAACGTATTTTAGGTGAGATTCAAAAATTTGACGATTATTTCACACAAAAGATTGACGCTATTGGAAATTATGGACTTAGTCCGCTACAAAAATTGACAGCGGCCCTACGTATGCTTGCATATGGTTGTGCAGCTGATTCACTTGATGAATATGTTCAAATTGGGAAAAGTACTGCTTTTGAGAGTCTAAAACATTTTTGTGATGCTATAATTGAGATTTTTTGAGGGTACTATTTGAGAAAACCAAATGAAACGATATTCAGTTTTTGCTAAAAGAATGTGAGGCTCGGGGATTTCCTGGTATGCTTGGAAGTTTGGACTGCATGCATTGGCATTGGAAAAATTGTCCTACAACTTGGCATGGAACTCATACTAATGGATTCAAAAGGGTTCCCACTTTAATTTTGGAGATTGTTGCTTCAAAGAATTTATGAATTTGGCATGCATTCTTCGGGATGGCTGGAACACAATGATATTTCAGTTTTGGACCACTCTCCATTATTTGATGATATCATTAATGAGGTGGCGCCCCCGTGTGACTTTACTGTAAATGGCCATAACTATAATATGGTTTATTATTTGTCTGATGGAATCTACCCAGCATATGCTACTTTAATTCAGTCCATTTCTAAACCATCTTGCATGAAGGAGAAGATATTTGCAAAGCAACATGAGGCTGTGCGGAAGGACGTCGAGAGAGCATTTGGAGTATTGCAACGTAGATGGCATATTATAAAAGGCCTTGCACGTATGTGGAACCCAAAAGATCTTAACAAAATCATGATAACGTGCATCATTTTACAGAATATGATAATGAAGTGAATAAGATTCACCCGGGCTCCTTCAACTCGAACCGGCCTCCGTACCTGCAGAACCCAACGCCGGGTGGCCCCGGCGTCGGGCCTCCGATGCCTAAGTCAGTACTCGGATCAAGAGAGAGATAAAGTGTAGTAATGGAATGAGGAGAGGATCATAGAATGAGGTACCTTGGCCCCCTTTTATAGGGGGAGTGTACCTTTGTGGGCTCAAGTTTGGCTTGGCCCATATCGTAGTGCCTCATCCATACGTGGGCTCGTCTTCCAATATATGCTTGTTTTCTCCATTAAACCGGGTGTAGTATAATATCATATATCATCTAGTCCCCCCCACTCTGGTCGAGTAAGCATAACTCGATCCAAGAGTGAAATGCCTCTTCGAGCTGTTTTCTTCCACTTGCCACTAAGATCGAGCATCGAAAGTCGAATGACCATTGAATAACCACTGAAATATCCTCCAAATGAGCTTTGAGATCTCAAGATCTGAAGTGAATAAGATTCACCCGGGCTCCTTCAACTCGAACCGGCCTCCGTACCTGCAGAACCCAACGCCGGGTGACCCCGGGGTCGGGCCTCCGATGCCTAAGTCAGTACTCGGATCAAGAGAGAGATAAAGTGTAGTAATGGAATGAGGAGAGGATCATAATGAGGTACCTTGGCCCCCCTTTTATAGGGGGAGTGTACCTTTGTGGGCTCAAGATGAGCTTGGCCCATAATGTTGGGCTTGGACGTATTAGTGGGTTTATCTTCCAAAATGTATCCGCTTTATCCATTTAACCGGGTCCAGTATAATATCCTATATCATCTAGTCCCCCCCACTCTGGTCGAGTAAGCATAACTCGATCCAAGAGTGAAATGCCTCTTCGAGTTGTTTTCTTCAACTTGTCACTAAGATCGAGCATCGCAAGTCGAATAACCATTGAATAACCACTGAAATATCCTCCAAATGAGCTTTGAGATCTCAAGATCGAAAACCAAAAGACCAC